ATTATGAATCCAATTTGAGATTGTCACCCAAAGAAGCAGAGCAGTGCAGTCCAGGACTCCCGATTAGGGTTTCTGATTAGGAAAAGTCAATTGTGGTTTGAATTTTGATTTAAATGGTACCCCAGTGATTGAACCATGGTATATAAAGCTTATATGACTTATTTAATTCCACTCAAGAAGTTCCAACACCTCAGGGGACCCAGAACACCAACAGTCGATTCAGAGTTTTTCGATTAATCGGTTCATCTGATTGAAAAGTCAACTCATTGACCAAAAGGTTTTTGACCCAAAAATTGAAGTCAATTATGTTCCTAATGGTATATTATTACTACTCATGAAGTTTGGTTACCATTGGATCAAATATTGAAGAGTAATCGAAAAATCGGGAAATTAGGGTTTTGAAAGGGGTAAAACCATAACTTCTTAACCACACATCCAAATGAAGTGGTTCAAAGCTTGAGGAGTCCTACAAAAGTGAAAAAGTGACCTATGTACAAAAAATGAATAGATTTGGAGTTATGATAAAAAACAATGCAAGAGAGAAAAACACTTAGTCAAATTTTATGGTTTTAGCACTTTTCAAGTCATGTTTTCAGCTAACTTCAAGGGTGTTTTTGACCTAGTTCCACTTGGAATTTGAAAAAATAAAAAAATTAAAGTTTTAGAGAATGATTAGGGATTTCCAAAAAGTACAAGAACTCTTCCATATCATTTGTGAGCTAGGAGTTTCGAAGGAGGGAAGTTCGGGTCCAAACACTTGAAGTGTATATTTTCAAATTTGACATAAACCAACTTTCCAACCATCTATGTGATTCTCAACCATTGATTAACCCTTGGTATGATATTTAGAGTGTATTATGACTAGAAATACTAAAGGATTCAAAGATTGAAGAGCATGGAAAATTGTTAGTGGCATTATTATATTCAAAGAAAATCAAGAGGAAAGAGAAACTTTTGTGAAGAAAATATGGAGCAGCAGGCCCCCTAGGCCATAGACACACTTCAATCACTTCCTATGGCCTGAAAAAAACTTTTCTTAGGCATCACAATGAATCAAGAACCATCAAGATTAGTTGCATCAAGATCTTGGACAAATTTGCTCCATTTTCCCTCAAAAAGCAAAAACTCCAAATATGTCCTCACTTTTGATCACTTGGCTTTGCCTATAAATATCACAGATTCTATACATCAAAAACACACAATAGAAACAAATAAGCCAACTACATACACTCTCCACTATCTGTTGCAAACCTTCTTGCAAACCAAGCAAAAACTTCAAACTTCAAAAAACTGTCTTGGACAGAACTTGTACCAAACCAACTTCCAGTCATTCCACACTCCTATCAACACCCCACACAACTTAAAAATTATCCTCTAGAGATATTTAAACCATCATTTGCACCAGAAATCATTCCATTCTCAAAGTCAACCTCCAAAACCAAACAAGTCAACATTCTGCATTTTTTAGGTCATAACCCATCACAGACCATTTCCAACTCTTTCAACACCTCTAACACTTCACAAACAACATATAGAAGCTGTCCAAATCAAGTTTACACTTATGATTTGATGTACTTTAAAACTTCTTTGGTGCATAACATGATTTTGGATGTTGTAACTTCTCAAATGTGTTTGTCGTCTTTCTTTCAACTTGTTATGTGTCTTGCTAGGATCATAGCATGCTAGGATTTGTGTTTTTTCTTGGTTGTTACCATGGAAATTTCTTTTCTTATGAAACCATGTACCTATACTTAAATGTTGCTTTACACTTCACATCTTTGTATTGTTGATGGTCATCTCTTTGCCCTCTCATGTTGTCACATGATTATCTTAATCTTTTTTAGTTGTTACCATGCTTCATGCCTTCATCATGTTAAATGTTGTCACATTTAGTCTTACTTGATTCATATCCCATGTTTGGTTCAAGTTGTAACTTGTATGTTTGATTTTTACTTGTTCATGTTTATCTTTGTGTATCCGTTGGTGTTGTAACCTCTTGAACATGATCCCATGTCCTTACCTTACTTGTTAAGATGTCTTGTTAGAACCATAACATCCTTAGGGTTGAGTCTTACTCTGACAGTTACCATGAACTTGTATGTTTTCCTCATGAAACTTTGAACTTGAACTGTTATAACACTTCTTGTTTGCTTACTTGTATTTGATTGTCATCAATGCATGATTTGTTAGTCTTATGTTGTTACATTTGACATTCTTTGTACCCTATGACATGCTTTCCTCAAGCTGTTACTTGCTTGCATTTAAACTTGCTTGCATTTAAACTTGTTTGCATTACATGTGTTTGTCTTGATGGTTGTTACCTCATTTCCCTTCATCTTTGTCAAGGTGGTTCAAGTTGGTATTGCCTCAGATTGCTAGGTCTTGTAAGAATCTCTATCATCATGTCCTTTTAGATATTATAATATCTTTGTTATTATGGTTGTAACCATTTAACTTTAGTGTAATATTTGCTTGATGTTATTACATGCTTGCATATCTCTTCCTTGGTTGTTACCATACTCTTTTATAGGTTCATCATGTTTGAATGAATGCTTATTTGTGCTTTAACTTTGTTAAGTTATTCCCTAAGTGATGGAACTTGTTAGTTCTCATCCAGTTTCCTCCTCTTTTCCCATTCCAAAGGAAAGTCTCTCTATTGACCCTTAGGTCATAGATAGCTCATTACCCTCACTTTGAATTTGTTAAGTCGTCTTGAACCCTAGCTTAGTTAAGTTAGAACCTATTATCCATTAGATTTTGCTTTAAGTCTAGAAGACCTACCCCTTGTTAGGAGTATCTTTCAACTAGAACTTTAAGATAGAGTTTGATAACTCTATGTAAGAATCGTTGTCATGATTACTTACTCCCCTCTTGAATTTTGTAAAAGTCAATTCCTTTGAGTGTATAACTTAGAAATAGAGATTTTTGTTAAAATCTATACAAGCATTGTTATGTTTATTCCCCTAGAGTCTTGACCATAGTCAAGTACTTTTTGATCCTCAGTGAGGTGAACTACGGTTGCTCTGATTCTATCCTAGTTAGGATACGTAGGCAGAGGATGCGATATCTTTGTAAGCAAACTTAGGAACTATCTTTAGGTCTTTACCTTTACCTTATACCCTATCCCAAGCCATAACAAACATTTAGCAAGTATAACATACAAACATACAAAAGGTTCCTGTAGAGTACTACAGATGTTTAGGATGTGAAATACCTATCCTAGGCATAACCAACCCCCGATCCCCGATCTCTTAGTGTTGTCGTTACATTGTGCAAAAGGTCTTTCTTTCTTTAACATTTCCTTTGGATAAATCAAAGTCCAGTTGTGAATTCAATGAATTAAGACTCAAGTTAATTAATAGCTTTACATCACAATTCTCACCACAACAACACCGAACTGATTTGAGAAGGTGTGTCATTATTTTTTGTAATCCACTTTGCAATTTTCGGCTTGCTGCGCCTTACAGAAAAAGAAGAAATTCTTGGAAGATAGTTTCCATAGAGCCATCTCACAGTTGCACTGCCACAAATATTGTTCAGGATCACCGAAAGCTAAGCGCGGAATTGATATGTCAAGATATTTCGCCGCTTGTTAACAAGGATCCATCAGTGAAGGTGAGTATAATAATATCTCATATCATTACACAATATAATTATACTCCATCGTACAAGAAGGTGTGGATTGCAAGGACAAAGGCTGTTGAACAGGTATTTGGCAATTGGGAAGATTCGTACAAAGAATTACCACGATTTTTGGTAGCACTTAAGACATACACATCGGAAATTGTTGCAATCATGTAGGTAGTGCCGACATGTAGGCCAGATATAACTATTGTTGATGAAAATGTCATATTTCACCGTCTCTTTTGGTCTTTTCAACCATGCATAAAAGGTTTTGCATTCTGCAAACCTATTACTCAAATTGATAAAACATGGCTCTACAAAAAATACAAGGGCACATTGGTTATGGTTGTTGCACAAGACGACAACAATAATGTCTTACTCGTAGCCTTTACTCTGGTTGAGGGTGATACCGCTTCTGCTTGGAGTTTCTTCCTTAAGAATCTCAGGACACATGTTGCTCCACAAGCTAATCGCTTTTTGATTTCAGACAGGCATGTTGTTATAAAGAGTGTTTACATTAACCATGATAACGGGTGGCATAATCCTCCTTCTACCCATGTATATTGCATTAGACATATTGCACAAAACTTCATGCGTGTAATCAAAGACAAGAACCTACGCAAGAAAGTTGTGAATGCCAGGTATGCTCTAAGTCAACCATCATTTCAATACTACCTTAACGAAATTAGAATGTCAAACGTAAATGTAGGAAGATAGTTGGATAACATTCCACTAGAAAAGTGGACAAGGGCTTTTGATGGTGGATGTCATTGGGGCCACATGACACAAACCTTGTGGAATCCATGAACGGGGTCTTCAAAGGAATTAGAAACCTTCCAATCACCACTTTGGTGAGATCAACCTATTATAGGTTGACATCACTTTTTGCAACAAGAGGCAAAAGATGGAGTGCAATATTAATGTCGGGTCAAGTATTCGGTGAAAACATAATGAAGGTGATGAAAGAGGATGCTATCAAAGCCAACACACATGCAATTACAATCTTTGACCGTCATAGGTAAATTTTTAGTGTACAAGAAACTAAAGACCATAATGAGGGGAGGCTAAATTGTTTGTAGGAATAAGATTTATTTTTAGTGTTTTGATATGTTATTCTCTCTTATGATAATTTCTTTCATATAAAAAATGATTTGGACAATAGTGATACACTTGTTGTCTCCGTCCAAATGTTAGTGACTGAAGACTTTTCTTGTCCATTTTGCTTAATGCACTGTGCGATCTCAAAGCAAGTATGATGCATAACATTGTAAAATTATAAATTTTATGTTAAATGCTGTAGTTTTTAGAAATTATAATAAAACCAAACATATATGTATTTTATTAAAATCACTTGAAACACATACATGTAGAGAAACTTATGAGTTGTTGAGACATGCACATAGATTATAGATCTGTTGGCGGTTAACAATAAGAATGATTGCAAATAAGATTCCCCATGAGATGAAAACAATGATGGCAGCTGTCTTGGAAGCAGAGCTGATTTCCATTACTGAGATTGCAGTTGGTAGGATAAGTATGCATAAGATTGCAAAAATGCTTTTGTTAACAGGGTGGTATAGAGTAAACCGCAATATACATATTTGGGCCATTGAAACCAGAGAGACGAGTAAGAGAATATTAAGCCATTCAGGTAAATCTGGTTCCCCAGCATTAGTCGGTGTAGAGATGACCATCTCGAACATGCATAATCCTACTGAGATTATGCCTATTAAACCAATCCTCGCTATGTCTGCTTTATATTCTTCCATCGCAATTGCAATCCCTTGATCTTCTATGCTTTTTTCATTACACTCTGGTTCAATCACAATCACTTGACTTCCTCTATAGATATAACAGATGTCTCCGTTCCTACAAACATTTTTCATATTGCACAGAGATTAAAAGCATGAAGGTAAAATCAATAATAGTACCTTAGATCTCACCTCTTAACTTCTTCGTTCACCATAACTTGAACTTCCATTTTTTTTGTTAGAGAAAACTTGAGGAATGAATTACATGGACTTTTAATCTAATTTCACTTGGGCAAGTTAGTTGTTCATTGACATTCAAACAAGGAATGATTGTCCTAATCAAATATTCACCAAGCGTCTAGTATCTTTTTTGTTGTCCACAAGATTGTTACCATTTTTTAGGAAATCTGTTACCATTTTCTTTTCAAAATAAATTGTTACCCTTTCTTTTTATAATTATTAGTTTATTAAATATGTTGCAGAGAGATAAAACTTTCAAACTTTTATATAAGATTTCAATGGATTATGGACATATTTAAAATAGTACCCAATATCCTCTAATAAAAATTTATCAATATGTCTCTACAAAGTTATTTTAATTTTATTTTGAGAAAATTTATCTGGTATGTCATATCCACAAACTTATTTTAATTTATTTTGAGATTTGATCGTTTATCTATCGTAAATTTTTGTCACCTTATTAGAATTCCTTTATTTGTTTAATGGCAAATCCATTATTTTTCTTATTATGATTCAACTTTTTTTTCCATGTGTTTTATTATATTCATTTTTATTTAATATTTTGCTTGTAATAACTTAATTATTTTATAATTTGTTGTATTATACTACATATCAATATATAATTGTAGTATGAGTTAGATATTATGTAGAATTTAATCTTATAAATATGTTATAGGATTAAATGGATCATCAAGATGAGAAAATAATTCATATGATCATTGATCATATAATTGATTTTTTGACGTTTATCAATATTTTATTTTCATTTTAAGATATTTAAATTATTTTATATGTTAAATAGTTTGTGTTTAATTATCTACGTTTTTTATGATTACTTCTTTTATAAAAATTTATTTAGCATAATTGTTATAATATTTTAAGGGTAAAAAGTAAATTAGTTTTAAAACCCCTCTCCTCTCCCTGGAAACAAAACATATATTTGAATAAAACTTCTCCCTCCCCTCCCCTCCCCCTCTTATGAACCAAACATACGTTTAATTAAAATACATCCCCTCACCTCCCCCCCCCCCCCCCCCCCCCCCCCCACCCCCCACCGTCGAACCAAACGGACCCTTAGTGCCACCAATAACATGTAAAATAAATAAAAAGGACCAAAACTTAAAGTGCCATAGAAGATATTCCATTATTTAGCACCATCCAATGTGATATAAGATTTGGAGAAAACAACTAAGGAAATACGAGAAGCTTCAATTGCTCGCAATAGTTCTGGTTTCAGATCCGTTCCCTTTTTAAGGTTCTCGTCATCGAGAAAAGTCTTGATTCCGGAGTCTGAGAGGGACTTGTAGAGTTGAGGAACGAAGCTACGACGATCGTCTTCACCTCTGAAGTTGAGGAAGACGTCATAGAGGAATTGAGGAGTGGAGGAGGATGAGGAAGACATAGATCTCAGCGTTCAATGAGATGTTTTCAAGTCAACTCTTAAAAGATTATCAAGTCGTGGTAGATGGAATGGATAAGAGACCATGCGCCAATGCGTCTTTCTTTTAGGGTATGTTTGGTTGGAGGTAGATAGAGGGGAGAGGAGGGGAGGGGAGGGGAGCAAAATCCCTCCTAGACTCATATTTTGCTCCCCCTCAAATTGGGGGATTTGGAGGGGAGGGAGGATTCATTATTTATAATTTTATTATATTCTCTAATTTAACCTTAATTATTTTTTTAATTCCATGATTGTCCTTATTAAGTAATTAAATATTAGTGATGGATGATTTAAACATCAAATTTACTAAATTATTTTAAAAAAAAATAGTAATATATATATATATATATATATATATATATATATATATATATATATATATATATATATATATATATATATATATATATATATATATATATATATATATATATATATATATATATTAATAATAAAGAGTAAAAAGTCCAAAGTATATTGAGTATCAATTCTACATAATATTATTATTTTTATTTATAACAAAAGAATCAAGAATTAAATTTATTTATTTCTTATATTTAGTTGGAACTTATTTAATTCTTATATTCTCAATACCATTTTCATTCCAAAACTCCAACTTTTTCGTGCAACAAATCAAAGGGAACAAGAGAATATCGAATTTCAGGTAAAGATTGCACTTTGTCCACTATATTGCTCACATTAATCATCAAAATTTTGGAGGAAAAAAAAGTAACATTGCTTCCGGAGTTGTACCTCTGAAGCGTGTTAAAGATGAACACTTTCAGATGTACATCTCCGGAACGTGTTTGTGACCTATTTTTTTTTACAGCAGATTTGTAATTTTTATTTATTTTTATTATTGTTTACAAATAGATATGGTGCACCCCGATAATATCTCAAAAGAATTAGTTTCTAAAAACGATATTTCTTCAAATGTTCAACGGGTTGTCGTAAAGTCGATAGATGTCGATGTTAACTTTAATAACAAGCAAGAGTTTGATGATCGTAATAGCATGCTCACATGGATTTGTAGGACTGCAACTAGACTTGGTTTTGGTGTGGTTATAGGAAGATCAGATAATGGTTCAGAAATAATAAACGCTTTTGTAACTTTATTGTGCGAAAGAAGCGGGAAATATCATACTTCTCTACAAAAGTTTAAAAGAGACGACATTGGTAGTAGAAAATGTGAATCTACTTTTAAGATTCATGGTTACATGTTGAGTATCAAAAATGGAAATTTAATGTTATTTGTGTTTTGCATAACCATGAATTGTGCTTAAAGTTACAAGGTCATCCTAGTATATGTCGGTTCAAGCCGAAAGAGAAGACATGTATTAGTGACATGACCTTGAATCTTGTCCAACCAAAAAATATACTTATCACATTGAAACAGAAGGAACCAAATAATATATCAAATATAAGACAAGTGTATAACATTCGGTATCGCATTAACAAAGTGATTAGGGGAGAAAGAAGTGAGATGCAACAACTGTTGAAATTGTTGGATGATAACAGTTACATGTCCCAGTACAGAACTTGCGACGATGGAGTTACGATCCGAGATATTTTTTGGACTCATTCGGATTAGATAAAGTTGTTCAACACGTTCTTGACAGTGCTCATTCTTTATTCTATTTACAATACCAACAAGTATAGACTTCCTTATTTGAGATGGTTGATGTCATGTCTATCGAGAAGACATATGTCGTTGGTTTTGCTTTTCTAGAGTTTGAAAAAGAGAACAATTTTACATGGGCATTAGATGTGTGTTGGTCACTATTGAAGGATCAAGTTGAGATGCCTAAAGCGATTGTTACCGAATGTGGAAAATTGGTGAAGGCTGGTGTGGTTGTTGAAAAAATAATGGATGCATGAAATATAGACTAAATTCTTCCACAAAAGAATTATATGTCGATTCCGTCATTCAATTCCGGAAGCGTGTGAAAAGTATCCTGCTTTATTGAAATACGTTGAAAGCACAATTCTTGATCAGGTGAAGGAGAAGATAGTTTGTGTGTGGTCTGGTAATGTCCGACACCTTGGAAATACAATCATCAACAGAGTTGAGTCATCCCATGCTAGTCATAAAAATTAGTTGGATAATAGCAAGGGGGATTTGTGTCGAGACCGGGACTCCGTAAATCTCCTGATTAAAAACCAACATAATAAGATACAAACAACATTTGGTCGGAGTATAACGGTATTGGAACGTCGATTTAAAAATAACATTATTTATTCTTAATTGATCGGCAATATGTGTTGGCCAGGATTGAACTATATTTTCACGAGGCCAAACGAGCTAAAACTATAGGTTCTGATAGCACAAAGTATGGTTGCACTATTCGGTTTACCTCCTTCCATGCAACCATCATCATCAAAACTAAGTGTTTTCTAATGAGGGTAAACTTCGTCATTCTTATTGGCTCATCTATTTTGACCGAATGGGAAGCGATACAAGAGAGATTCTCAAAGGTCGATGACAACATGAAACTCCACATCAAAGAATAATTGAGGAAGATTTCCTATCCCGAAACAACCGACATGAAACCACCTTCTCAACCAGTAAAGACAAAAGGTGCTCCGAAGAAAATGAAGCCTACGCTGAATGACAACTCGACTACACGGTCTCCTTCTTATTATGAGTACATTGACAAACTTTATCCGACTCACCGACTCCTAAATCTCAAAAAATTATCATGAAAGAAGTCTGCATAAGAAAACCACCTCCGACCTCGATTCCACTGAAAATTCCATTCACTAACGATATGTCGGTTTTTATGCATAAATACATCGACCATATCGTCAATGTTGAAGGGGATGGTAATTGCGGTTACCGAGTCATTTTGGCTTTGCTTGGTAAAGGAGAGGATAATAATGTGCTTGTCCGTCATCAACTAATCCAAGAGTTGAAGACGCATAAAGAATCATACACGCGGTTATATGGAAAGAAAGAAACATTCGATGTGGTTTATGAATCTCTTGTTCCTTGCTTGAGTGATCTGACACCAGTGTCGAAATTGACTATCTTCCCTGATATGGGTCATCTTATTGCATGTGCATATGATAGGGTGTGCATTGACTTGACGCAATACAAGTTTTTGGAAACCTTTTTTCCACTTCGCACCGCACCGCTTCAAAATCCAAATGATCACATCCTGTGTATTGGATGACTTACAAAATCAAGACATTTTACACAAGTTTACTTGAAACTGGTATGCCTCATACCACCTACATTATCGGGATGGGTGACTCATTCAACCGCAAATGCTGAGATATGGCCGAATCATTTTGTTGAAAGGATGCATGAATTCGAAAGATTGAACAACATTGAAAAGGAATCAAATGTGTAAAAGTCCAAAGTGTAACACCCTTTTCCTACCCCAAAAATATATGACAAATCATTCACATTTATAAGAGTAATATTTTAAACATAATAAAAATCACCTCAAAGGGTGTACATTTCTCAATAATTCAAATTAAAGTCAATGCTCCGTAAACAACGGGGTTTCCCAAAATTACTCAAAAATTTCTCAAATGGAAGCGGAACTC